TGAACTGCGAGGAGGGGTGGGGCGGTGGTGGGGTGATGTGGGGGGGGGGGGGGTTGCTTTTTACCTCAGAAAGTCGTGAGAGGGAAGGGCAAAGCGATTCTGCCTTTAAAAGCAACAGATTCCACATTATTTGAAGTCATGTTGGGAAAGCCCATTGGAAACACGGCTTTTTAATTATATTCTAATAGAAAAAAACATATTAGTATTTATTCGCTGCTGCTTTTTTTTTCCTTTCCAGGCAGTTACTGAAAGACCCCCAGGTGTTATTTGCAGGGTACAAGGTCCCCCACCCCCTGGAACACAAAATTATCATCCGTGTCCAAACCACCCCCGATTACAGCCCCCAGGAGGCTTTCACCAACGCCATCACGGATCTCATCAGCGAGCTCTCCCTCCTGGAGGAGAGGTTCAGGGTAAGCTTGTTGCTTTCTCTTTAAAGTATTTGAGCTTCTTGCAATTAAAAGTTAAAGGGGAGGGGGGTAGTTTATCTTAGAGCTGGTCGATAAATTCATCAAAGCCAATCGGTGTTACTCAGCTCTTGTCAAGGCATGGTGGAGCCTGGCTGTGCTTAACTAAGGGTTATTTGCATGCCCAACAGTGGTTCAGTGGGTGCTCTCTAATTCCCTATATAGGCCAGCATTGTTTTGCTCACAATCTTATTAGTGTAGAAAGCAATTTTCTATTCTTCCAAGTGGGTGTTATTATTTTAGTTCTACTTCTCCTGTCAAAATTCTGGGACAGTACTTTTTCTTTGACCACTTCTCATTGCTTCTGCTCAACTGTGTATTTCTTTAGCCCCTGATTTTGTAAGACTTAATCTGCCCAAAAGGTTACTCAGTCAAAACAGGGGGGGAGTGAGAATAGGATCCTGTCTGTCGTGTTCTCTGCTGTGCTGGGAAAAGGTAACAGTGCACCCAGTTTGTAAATAGGTTTCAGTACTATTTTTTGGATGATGTGGAGATTTCCACTGGTGGCGTGTGGTTCTTAACGTTTCACAGAAGACTCTTAGGAATGTTTAAACTGAATTCCTCCAGTTCAGTAACACTTCTTCTCTTAGCATATGCATTTTTCTTTCTGTTTTACAGGTTGCTATTAAAGACAAACAAGAAGGAATCGAGTAAAGTCACCCCATTTAGAGTGGACTGTCCTTCTGAGGCAGACTGACACCTGTGTTACTTGAATGTTATATTTAAACCTCTATTCATGGCAAATATTTTCCCCATTGTCCTACTTACGTTTCATTTTTGACAGTAGCAGTGATACTTTGAGCCTTTTTTGTTACACCGGACAGGGGGTTTGCCAAGAGGGTAAATGTAAATGTCTTGTTTGATTTGATGGATAAGTTATTAAAACGATTTCTACTTTTCTAATTGGAGCCTTAAGGCAAATATTTGTACTGGGCTGTTGGTGAGTTTATTGTGAGTGTACTCCCAGGGTGAGAAACTGCGTGAGAGCAGTAGGCAAACCCTCTGCTTTTCCTTTTCAAGAAGTCTAGGCACTGCCAAGTGAACTGGTATTTTGTTTTATTAAGTGTCATTTCTAGAAAACAAATGCACAAATTGTGAAAACGTACAGTAAAAGAAACCGGATGTTTACAATGACTTGACGAGTTTAACAAACTCTTACCGTTTGTTGTTTGGGGTGGTTTTTTTTCTCTGGTACATAACAGCTGGTCTAGAAAACTTGATGGTTACATGGGTAACAGTCACTAATACTGCACTATTTCAAAGCACGGGGATGAAACTGTGGTACAAGGAACTATGACTTCTTCCAAATGGCTGTTATGTTCACACTAGTTAGAATAACAAGGTAAGTAAAAGCGGGGTCTGATACCACATTGTTTATTAGGACTTCGCTCAGCTGCTCCCCGTTCTCTCGAAGCTCTGGCCACTTGAGAATCTACGAGGAGAACAGAGTTTGGGTAGCAAAGGACTGGTGGTATTGTCTTTGGAAGTGGGAGGTTATTAATTATTGCATGGTTTGATTATGGGGTTTCTGTGGAATCTGCTTCCCTGCCAACCTGGGGAAGCTGAATAAAAAGTTTCTCTCCTTTCTGAGGGAGGTGTTGCAGCTTTCTGGTACTCTAAAGGACCAGGGTTTAAGGCAGAGGGACTTGATCAGAAAGGAAAAGGTGAAAGCAGCTGGAACTGACTGTTGACTTGGGTATGGAATTAGTGTGATGCCAAACCCATGTGTAATGGTAGATCCAGACTGTGCTCTGGAGTGAGAGCCTTTGAGCGTGTGTGTCTTCATCACAAAAACGAACAGTAATTGCCCAAAAGTGACCTGCCTCTGGCAGCCAGGGAAATGCCACACAAAAAGGGTGGCAGGAGCATAGGGAAGTGGTGAGGCCTTTCCTGGGTGCAGTTCTGCCAGGGAACAGCCGCTCTGGGTCCCCCTCCTCATGGTGTGCTGTCCTGCTCTCCAGAGGAACCACCCAGGGCCCTCTGCTACAAAAAGCTGCCAGGCCCCAGAAGGCAGGAGCAAACAGATTTGCTTTACAGCTCAATTCCCATCACAGTTGTGTTTGCCCAAGATCTACAAGATGGCCTTGGTCACGCTCTGAAGATTGCTTTTAATTGCTTGTGAGGATTAGGCAGAGGAAACAGCGGGCATGTTGGGGTGTAAATCTGATGGCAGACTCAGGTAAAACAAGGGTAAAACAAGACCTACCTGTGTGGGAGGGATCCTCCTGTCTGAGCGTTTTCCCTTGGCAGACCTCCACGCCGCCGTGTAGCTGGAGAGGTTGTACATCCACACGCTCCCCTTCTCGTCGCCACAGAACACGTACTCTTTTGCTGTTAAGACCAAAAGAAGCAGCTGAAAAAGGAGCATGGAACTGGGAGTCCAGTCCTCTATAAACCAGAGCTCAACACAGTTTCTGCTGTGGGGTTCCAGGGGAGGATGTCGTATTTCAGCAACGTTCTATTTCTAGCACAAATACGTTAATCTTAATCTTAATTAGAATCATAGAATCATCTAGGTTGGAAGGGACCTTAAGGATCATCTAGTCCAACCATCAACCTAACCCTGACAAGAAAATAAATAAGAAATAGGCAATTAAAAAAAAAATTAAATTAATTTAAGATAACCAATTTATCTGACCAATAGTACAGAAAAGCGAGTGATAAGTGTTTTGGCCTTTCTTCTGACTTTTTTGGGATTTGGAGAGTGGCAGATCAGGTTTGTTTATTCGTTGTTAGTCTTAAAAGCTGCCCTGTGTGTGTGTGTGGCATTCCCACCCCTTCCTCCAGAATTTTCCAGACTGGCTCTAGAAAAGCGACAGGGCCAAGCCATGGGCCCCGTGTGCTTTGAAAACCTCTGAAGGAAGACTGTTGGTACCCTACAGTGGGTGTAACGCTGTTCCCCTTGCTGTAGGGCAGGCAGGACAGCCCCACGGAGGGAGAGGGTGCTGCCTACCTGGGCAGGTGCTGAGCGTCAGGTAGGACAGGTCTGTCAGGGACCACTCCAGCTCGGCCAGAATAACGGCGGATACCGTCCGCTGGCATCCTCTCCCCTTCGTGCTGAAGGACCGGCTCCAGCTCCACAGGTAGATGCATCCTGGTTTTGAGCTCTTGGAAACTAGGGAAGGAAGAAGGGAGAAGGCTCTGTCAATCCTGAGAAGTGAAATGCCTCAAAAGAAAGCTGGCCCATCCAGAAGGTGGCTTTTAAGCTGTGGGACCCGATAGCAACAGCAACTGTTTCCACCTCCTTCACCTTATTTCAGGATAATTAGGGGCTGCAGGAGGATTTTCAGTCCCATGCCTGTGTTACTGAACTGCAGAACAAGCATCAGGTGTTCAGAAAGACCCAGCCCATGCTTTAAGCACCCTCCCAGATTAAGGAACCCTCAGTTCCCCTGGAAAAAAAGAATCCCTTGAGCAGAAAGGAGCTCTCCTCCCTTTGCTTTAGCTCCGCTCGGCTGAGCCTGCTCTGAGGGATGGGTCCATCTCAGTTCCAGTCCTACTCAGACATGGATTTGCACCTCCAGCCCACATTTTAGAGAAAGATGTTACTCTGGAGACAACTCCACTCTCTGTAGCCCCCAAAAACTTAAAAGAAGAGGTGGTCACACCCCATTCAGTCCCTCTGCTCATCGTGCTGGCTTCACCCTGCCGCACGCCGAGGCACCTGACCCATTTTCTGGCTTGGGCTGGTGTGTTTATACTCACCGACGACATCATCGTTCAGAAAAGCCAAACCATCGACCCTGTGAGATGTTGTCATGCTGCCGTCCTCGTCAGGAAACTGGAATTCGGCTTCAAAAGGCCTACAGCAGGGGGGGAGGGTGAAATGAGTCCGTGGGCAGCAGCAGAAAGGCACTTGGATAGAGAACCCAGAAGGAAATTCCTGCTTTAGCGAGTCTCTTGCCAAACTGGGATGAATTCCCACCTGAACTTATGCTTTTGGCCACCTGGGTTTCTTAATACAGCAGAAGCCTGTTTGCTGAAGAGACCGCTGTTTTACTTCATCTGTTTTTGTAGGCACAGGGATTAGTCTGTGTCAGCAGGGCATGACTTCACTTGCTGCTTTCTTGCAATTTATTTTTTTTTTCCCCCCTGTGCTCCCACGAAGTGCCAGTTTCCCAGGTAACCTCACGTCCCAGAAGCAGGGCTCGCTGTGAGACTGGCACTCCCTCCAAGAATTTACACTCCCTTAAGATGATACGCCCTTAAGTTTGGGGGTTATTGGATTACACTTGTGTCAGCCTTCCTTCAAAGCAGCCTGCAACGCTTGTAGCTGGAGCATCACTCCAAGCTCAGGGCTGCTGCCTTTGAACACCCCTTTAGCATCACACTAGCATTTTATCTTGCCTCTATGGGAAGGGGAGTATGGTTTAAGTCCGGTAGGAACGCACTGCTTTTCTTGCTCAGACTTCCTCGGTCAGAAATAAAGCCTCTGTTAGGACTTCATGCCCCTCAACTTTTGCTTCTCACCTGCTTTTTTGTTCCTTATCCAGTTTTATATTCCAGGCAAAGCAGCCACCTTCACAGCCCGCCAGCAGGTAGTGATCTGGGCAGGTGGGGACCAGGGCAATGCGTAGGGGAATGGAGAGTGCTTCCAGCACCAACAGCTGGCTAAAAACAAACAAACAAACAAAACCACCAACAAAAAAGAGAGAACAAGCAGTTAAGTGGTGCTGTGACTCGACAGTTATAGGCTCCTGGACTGGCCACGTATGGTTTTTGAACCTTTACCTTGCTTTGAAATTGTAGTCACAGTCTGGAATCCCAATATCCCAGAGTGCAATTCGCTTGTCATAAGATGCAGCTGTGGGACACAGAAGAGAAGCAGGTAGTGACACCGCTGCTCATCTGGCTCTTCTCATGCTACCTGGCAATTCTACCTGTGTCACAGGCTGTCACCCTCTTAAGCCTGTGGCATCAGAGAGCTCATTAAAGCACAGCAGCAATCACCGAGGCTCCTGACAGACACTGTCAAACATGCACAGGCTGGCATTTGTGTTCTTACCCTGTGCTCTGAGAGGAGCAGATAAAAGAAAGTTTGTTTCCTGCTGTCCCTTACTAAGTTGTGGCTTCACAAGGTCATTAATTAGTGCCCCTTTGAGCTTACGTTTCTGGTGATGGGTTCTAGTGGAACCTAAAATAAGAGCTCCAACCTCTATTCTCAGGCTTTATTCCACATATCCATGTGGATATTCCACATATCCATGGCCTCCTGTGCTCCCATCCATGGCAGCTCCTACTGGGAAAGTCGGACACCGGCGTAAAGTGTCGAAAACACTTAATGTCAGCAACCTGCTCCACTGACAGCAGAAACAACCCTCATGGATTACTTAGCGTAATCTGGATCCAACTCCAATGGCATCCCTCAAACTCAAAGTAAATGGGATAGTGTCCAGTCCCCAAACAGGCACACAATGACTCTCACTTCATTACTATAATTTTTTCTGTGCAACACAATGAGCTTTGCTGTCAGCTTCCTTATCCCTCTAGGCTTCTGCTTTTTGTGCTCTTGAGCTTCTTCCTGAAAAGTACCACTACAGCTACCCAGGTGTTAAAAAAATTCCACTCTTAATGGTTCACATAGCACTCTAACCACTCCAGGATGTGGGGAGGTGTAGGCAGGAGGAACAATGTGCTGTGGGGTGCAGGTGTGGTCTGAACGGCTCTGTAACAGCTCACTTTACAGGCCTGACAATACAGCTGCAATTTGTAATAGGATGGATTATTTCCCACAAGTCTGGAAGCCTCACCCTCCCTGGGCCCTACTGTGGCAAAGTTCTCCTCTACATCAGGACCCAAATAAAAATTTCTGACCAGGCAGAGAACTTTCATTTATTTAAAAGCAATTAAGCGCATAGTTTTGCTCGTTGGAAAAAAAATGAAATCCAACAGCCCCATTATGCGCTGC